TTATTTTTAAATTTCTAATTTTATTAAATTTAACCGCCTTAAAGCACGTGAGGGGTAAATAAATACATTTAGCGGTATGACATGAACTAAGAAATTAAAAAGAAATACTAACTGCAATGTATTTATACGAGTGCTTAATCATGTTATACAAATATTAGAAAAACATTTATCATGTGAATATGTTTTAAACTGTTTCGTACAGAACTGCAAATCAATGATATTCTAACAAATAAAAAGAATTTTCTATCAAATGAAATGGTTTGGCAATTGCTAGAAAAATTGTTGTTATTGTTGTTATTGTTGGAGCAACCTAAAATCGATCAACGATTTGTGCTCTTCTAGAGTTTAATTTTATTTTATATTACAATTTGTTTTTTATATTCGTAGTTGCTATTTTGCTATAGTTGCAAAGTTTTTTTCCTCATGTGCTATTAGATAACAAGTTGAAAAAAAATTTTTTTTTTGAGGCTACGTTTTTTAGTTCTATTTAATTTCCTATTTTTAATATTTTACTGCACTATTTATACTGTATGTGGAGTTAGACACTCATAAATATGTGAATGTTACCTGAAATAATTATTTTTCAAATTACAAGTGTTTTTTTTTAGTTAAAACTAATAAAATAAATAATAATAATATTCTACTTTGAGAAAAAGAAGCATAACTCACCTTCACCAACAGTTTAGGCGATGTGTCTGCTGGATTTGGACGTTTTATATTTAAGTTCATATTCCGCACATCAGGACATTTTTCGAACATTAAAACACGCTCTGCGACGGAACCACGCGTCAGTATAGGACGTCCTGCTATTTATTTCATACATATATATATATACATATATTTAAATAATATTTAATTGGCATTTAAACACATATAAAATATTTAATTTTTATTTACAATTTTTATCCAAACCATTTGTTAATGATCTTGTTGTCGTTTTTGCTTTTGTTGGTGCTGGCATATTTGCACGCGCTACGTCCATTACGTTTTCCGTTTCAAGTAAATTGGCAACACTGATTTTGTTATCCTTTTCTGTTTTATGGATCGCTGTTGCTGTTGCTGATGCTGATGCTGATCCTGATCCTGATACTGCTATTCCTTTACTACAATTTATTATTTTTGTGTTACTATTATTGATATTTTTATTATTTTCCGCAATTGCTACTGATTTAGCTGTTACCGATTTAATTAATTTATTAGTACTTTTCGTTGTTTTATCGTCCCCTTTTGTTTTAGTACTAATTTGCTGTTGCTGTTGATCTCGCTGTAGCTTCTTATTATCAGTTGCTGTTGGTGACGTTGTTGTTTTAGTTGATGATGGCACTGCTGCGGCCGCTGCTGCCGCTGGTGTTACTTGTGCTAATGCTAATTCTGATGCTAATGTTGATGACACTGCTGATGCTGATGCTGTTGATGTTGACGTTGATGTTGATGGTGGCATTAATTTTGTAGATGCTACTTTTGTCGCGACTGCGCTGCCGTTGCTCTTTTTGGCAAAATTATTTGCCTTTTTATCAATAACGTTGCTAGTACGTGTTGTAACGGGGGTGGTGGTGGTATTGACTGCAACATTACTGTTGCTATTAATTTTGGCATTTTTTTTATTGTTTACTTTATCATTATCAATTACTATTGTTGTCAATGTTGGGCTATTTGTTATAGTTTTGGTAATTGCTTTTGAATTTGTTTTATTTGTTGCAGATGCTTCTGAACCTGTTGCTGCTACTTTGCCTACTGCAGTTGTTGTTGCAAGCTGTGTGGGTGTTGTTGCAATACTCGATTTGTTCGTTTTTTTTACAATTTTTGTAGAATCTGCATTTTCTTGCAGTAATTCTTTGATTTTTAAAAGGTTTTGCGTTTGAATTTCCGTTAAATTTTTAACGTCCAAATTTAAGTCAAAATCAAAATTTAGTTCTAGCGGCTTCGTGCTCAAAGAATTGCCATGCGTTGTCGGATTTGTTATTATTTTCGACTTTGTTACACCACTTGTACCGCCAACATTGCCAATTTTTTCGGCAACGTTTTTGTGTTTTTCGTATGGTTGTTCTGCGGTTGTTTCAACAATTTTAACGCATGCGTTGTTTTTTAAAATTGGCGCTGTTGAGACTGTTGTTGATTTTGTTGTTGCTGCTGCTGTTGGTGTTGTTGTTGTTACTGACTTTCCTGCTGATCTCTTATTATTAAGTAACATATCAACTTCATCAGTTGCAGCAGCAGTTTGTGTTAATAAAGTTGCTGTTGAAATCTCTGGTGTTATTGCTGTTGAGGATTTTGTTTTTGACGTCATTTTGCTTGTTGTGGCTATTAAGTTATTGTTCATTTTCATTGTCGTTTCTTCCGTGTCTGTTGATTTTAGAATTGAATTTTTGCTTTTGGTACTGCTATTACTATTATTACTGCTGCCACTGCCGCTGCTGCTGCAGCTGCCACTGTTGCTTTTGTTATTATTTATGTTTTGTTTGACACCCCTTTGCTCTTTGTCTTTAATTACGAACGTATTGACAAGCTTTTGTAGACCCTCTGTGCTTGTTTCGCTCGGATCAGCTACAAAGAAGTCGTCTGTAGCCTCTGCTGCAGTTGCATTCGTATAAAAATCAAGCAATTCTGTTGGAGCTAAGCCGCGACACTTCCACGTACGATATATGGCATCAGCATGTTCTGATATTTTTTTCGAAATCTCTTCAATTTCATTTTTAGGATCAACGTTTGTATTAATTTTTGTAGATTTTGTTGTTGATTTGAGTATGACTGACGTACTTTTCTTTCCTGACGTAGACGTTGATGCCTGCATTTTTTTTTGTGATAATTCCTTTTTTTTTTTAATGTAATCGTTTTTTTAATCCTTACTCTTACTTTCCTTTTATACTTATAATATTTTTATAATATGAATACATATATATATTATTAATATTTATTCTTTGTCACATTTAATAAGAAATTATTGCATTTACTTGATTTTAAAACACAATTACTCCATGCATTTTGAGAAACTTGCAAAATTTTTTATAAAGTTTCCCTGCCTTACTTTTCACATTTTCCCCTCAAAACATGTACTACATACTTCGTTAAGAATAGCAAATCTATTTTTAAATATAAATTTCCTATTTCGTAAAGATTTTGTGCTGTTGCTTTCTTGTTTCAAATTTGGTTAATTTCACTTGAACTCATTAATAATCAAATAATTCTTCGAAAATAATTAAGTTAATAATATTCATCAATTATTTCTTCTATCTTTATATTGGTATATTAAATAATAACAAAACTTATTTATATATAACAAATAAATGTATTTAAAAATATTTTTTTCACGCTTTCAGTAAAATTAAATCCGTAAACGTTTCAACAGCCTTACGCACTGCTCGAATAAACTCTCGCCAAAAGAAAAACAGACACACTCAGAATTATTTTTATGCACACTCGACTATTTTCTATCGGATTTAGTATCTATTGACTACTGCAGCGATTTGTAGACCTGCTCGTGTTATTACTTCTTCACTATCTCTTTGGAAAATATACCATATTCTAAATAAATTCAAATGTTAAGAATCTATACTCAATTCATTTTCTGTTAGTGAAAATTCATATAATGAATCTCCCATTGAGTCATAAAAATTAAAGAGATTTCTATACAATCCTCATTTATTTTCCTCTGTTCTGAACTCTTCTGTTCTTTAATAATAATAAAGTGAAAGAGATTTCTTATGCTGTTGTCTTCAACTCTTGAAAAATATTGTTAATCGTTTGTTTAAAACAAGATCCAAACAATTTACATCGATGATACATTAATACAACGCATCATTATAGGTAAATAGATATGAATGTAGAATACCAATTTGAAGAATGTCCATAGTTTTCAGAGTAAAGCTTTGGTAAAGCCTTGAAAATGAATACAAATGTGAAAAAAACGCGGTAAATTTTAATATATATCTTTAAATATTATCTCTGAAAAACATTTTTGTGCTGTCATGTCTCAGCTCTCAATAAATATACCTTATTAACCTATCCACTCCAAATTGTACAAAAAAAAAAACAATCAAAAAATGTCGTTGTCTGTAGTAAAAACCGAGTATAAATTACAGTTTAGGGTTAATCTACTTGGCATGAAACCCGCTTAAAATTTCTTTATGATTTCTTAGCCGCCAAGCTTCTACATTTAAATTTGTTGCGTTTTTTGTATATAGTCACTATCAATCCAATTAGCAATTTACTCAGAATTATTATAATTACTTTTCTATTAAATATATTTTTAACTATTAATATTAATTCCAGCTAGTCCAGCTATTGCGACTAAAAGGTCAGAATTACGTCAGGTCAGAATTTAGACAGGAGGGTATTCAGTGTAGAAAGCATCTAGAATCAATTAATAAACTACATTAACCAAAATTTATTTTGCTTCCCTTAAAGTAGAGTTTTTTCAGAGCAATAGAACTATATCGACGTTTGACGCGACTCTCCAAATTTTCTTTTAAGACCGTTGAGATTTTTCCTTAAAATCTTATTCAACACTTCTGTCCTTTTATTATGGATTTTATATGTAACATATTTTGAATATAATTCTTTAGAAATGGTATTCTACTTTTGATTTCTATAACTTTTTTGAGACTACGATTAAACTTCCAAACACACATTTATCTGTAAAATCGAAACTTGATCTAGAAAAAAATATTATTATTCCTCTGTACTGCGCCATCCTGGCTAGAAGTGATATATATAATTTAAATTTAATATATATAATTTGTTTAAAAAGTAAATGAAGTGATTTTTATTTGAATATCACTCATATCACTCGTGTTTAGCAAAACACATGTTTAGTGATTTAAAGGTAATACAACTAACATTTGATATTCTTTTTGTACAACAATTATTATATTATGGACACTGTGTTACTAATCAATAACCTAAACAAAAATTGTTTGCAAAGTGCTAACCGCTACCAAATATCTTATTTACATTTTTATTATTATATTATTTTATTCACATTTTATTATTATTAACAATAAAAATTCTAACAATTTTTGTACTTTAAATCGATTTTAAATCATAAATAACTAGTCCCTAATAGTACATGGGTATATCAGCTATCTGTAATACAACTAAGGCTACAGGCGCTACAGTAATTTCTACAATACAATATCTATTTCGAGAATATCTCTCGAGCTTCTCTTAACGAGCTAGATGTCAGTGTCTAGCTCACATGGGTACGAGGACACAACGACATCTCGTGCAAATGCAAAGCAGATGAGCTTACCAAGACAGTCACTCTACTACCTTTCATTCATTTGACAGAGCTTTCATCGTGCAAAATTAAGGACTTGACCAAGCTTATAGAGTTGTCAGATACGCTGACCTGTAGTCTCCGTATGAACAACGCTAATCGTGCAAAATTAAGGACTTGACCACGCTTATAGAGTGTTCAAAAACGCTTACCTGAACAACGCTAATACCTGTTTTTTTTTACAACAGCCCACTCCAATCAAAACTACCCTAAAGCATTCTGTAGATTATGTAAAAACTACTATTCAATTCTGCGATTGTCTACCAATGCTTTTTATAGTAGTTTTCATCTAATTGAAACAACAATTAGCATGTGCGTACCCAGGGCCGAAAGGACATTTTGAAATCTAGGGGGTGAGCGCCCCCAGCCCCTACTTTTGTATGCCCATGACAATCAGCAACAATACTATGAATTGTCCTGAATAATGAAGTTCAATTACCCAGAAATAATGTAAAGAGCTTGAAATTATACTAAAGCTTACTTCTAATCTCAAAACTACTTTTTTAGTAAAGTTGTTATTTTGTTAAAGAAATTTAAGAAATTCAATTTTTATTTCGAGCGTTATTTTTAGTATATTTCTAAATATACTAAAACAAAAGAACCGTACATGAAAATTACTAGTTCTAAGCCTGGCATTGACAGTCCAAACAAATTATATACGGACTATAAACTAATTAAAAAATTCGATTATTTCCTAACATCACTGATGATGAATACTTGGCAATACTTGAAACAGCGTTGTATGGTCAGCCAGTTGTATCGTCAATAAATTAAAAATAAATCTTTGTCCTTGTCTTTTCTTTGCTTATCGAATCTGCCTAAACAAAATTTAATTTTAAATGAACTGGCAGGTAAGACATCTAATATAAAATTTAAATTTGCAACTTTATTTTTTTTAATCTTTTAGAATTGACTAGATCAGGGCTGTCCAAAGCGTGGCCCACGGGCTATATATGGCCCGCGACATCTACAACAATTACGCTTATTTTTTTTGGTGTACTGGTAAAACTGCATTTTATTTTTATGGTATACCAAATAAAAATAAATGAGTTTAAATTAATAAATTGATAAAACAACATTTAAGATGATAATCGTATTTTTATTTTTCTCCAAAACAACTTTGAACGTATGTATTTGTTTCTGCGGCCCTCCAATCTGTATATTTCATAGCCTACTTAACACTTATATTTAAATTAAAATAATTTATGATTTTACCCTTACCCATCGTTTTTAAATATCGATTCTCAAATGCTTTTGGAAAATGCTTAAGCCAGCTGGAAATTGGTTATGACTATTTCTGTCTTCACAATGTCAAATATTATTATTTATTATTAAAAATAAAATAAAAAAACTTATATACGTATACTATATTCAACAAGAGCATTGAAGTACGAAACCTTTGAAATGAAACGTTGGCATTGGCTCCACTTGCTTCTTAAGATGGCAGAAAACCTTAATAATAGAAAATATTGTATATAACGCAAAACGACTTATAAATACGTTTTGTTTAAATATTTATATTTTCGTAATTATTTATCTTTTTGCTTTTGTAGTATTTTCAAAATATACGTCTTAGACATGTGTCTTTTGCTTTAGTTAATGTTTAATTAAATTTAACCCTAAAAATGTATGGAGAAAGCTGTTCTAAGTTGCATTCAAAAACTATAAAAAGCAGTGCAGGCTGTGGTACGACTGCAGGTTATACGACCAAGTCGCCGCGTATAGTCCACTCCAGTGAAAGGAAAAATATTTCAAAACATTGGAAGTCGTTAAGAAATGAGATAAAATTTTAATTTGTTATTTATTTCGTAAATTAAATATTTAAAATTTTTGAATAAGTTATTCATAGAAGTATGGAGAGGTGCGTTGGTGATCTTTTAGTGCTTTTAAGTATTAAAAAAGTGTTTACAATATTTAAAACAAATATAAGATTTTATTCAAAAAAAAATTCAAATATATTTTTTGTGTTTTATATAAAATAGTTTCGCATCGCAATCCGCCTTCGGGCCACACTTTGCGGCTCTATCCAATGGGTCCGTCACAGATAAGGTCGGTTCTAAAAACTTAATAAAACATGCACTCAAGTTTTACATTAATCCGAAATTTTGTAGGTTACACCCGACATGGCACATTTAATTCATCCATACTGGAATCAATTTCCAGCTATGGATCCCATTTGGGCTAAAATTTTAACTTTCTATATGATCTGTATTGGTTTTATTTCATGGTGTGGAAATGGCGTGGTGCTCTATATTTTTTCAACAACAAAATCCCTACGCACTCCTGCAAACCTTTTGGTTATCAATTTGGCAATATCCGATTTTGGTATTATGATTACAAATACGCCAATGATGGGAATTAATTTGTACTTCGAGACCTGGGTGCTTGGTCCTATGATGTGCGATATTTATGCTGCCTTAGGCTCTGCCTTTGGTTGCAGTTCAATTTGGTCGATGACAATGATCGCACTTGATCGTTACCAAGTTATTGTTAAGGGTGTTGCGGGTCGGCCAATGACTATAAAATTAGCTTTAATGAAGATTGCATTCATTTGGGCGATGGGTAGCATATGGACTCTAGCCCCTGTGTTTGGCTGGAGTAGGTAAGTAATAATACCTAAATAACATGTCAAGAATATAATTGCAATATATCCTTTTAATAATATTAAAACATAAAATTTTACAACTTTCTTAAAGTTTCACTGATATATCTGATATATTGATTAGATTTATTACCTAATTTAAATTATTTTTAATTTCACATATTTGGCACAAACATACAGATATACAAATAATTTTTATCCGTTTTGAATTGGATCTAAATTGAAATATATAGGAATGTTGCAATAATTTCATTGATATATTATAATTAATATAAACACAGTTCAATTAAATGCTAAATTTTATTACAGATATGTCCCAGAGGGTAATTTAACCTCATGTGGCATTGATTATTTGGAGCGCGACTGGAATCCACGCTCTTACCTCATTTTCTACACCATTTTTGTATATTACATTCCATTATTCCTCATATGCCACTCCTATTGGTTTATTCTTGCTGTATGTTTGTAATTCTTATAATTGTAACGTGCTTAGCTATATAACGTATTGTCCATTTAACAGGCCGTTTCAGCTCACGAGAAAGCTATGCGTGAACAAGCCAAGAAAATGAATGTCAAATCATTGCGCTCATCTGAGGATGCAGAAAAAAGCGCTGAAGGTAAACTTGCAAAAGTTGCATTGGTAACAATTTCACTGTGGTTTATGGCATGGACACCATACACTGTCATTAACAATATGGGCCTTTTCAAATTTGAAGGACTGACACCATTGAATACAATCTGGGGTGCATGCTTTGCAAAATCTGCTGCATGCTACAATCCAATCGTCTATGGTATAAGGTTAGAGAGAAAGGATTTTAATCTTTTATAATTGTAGTTATTTTTATTTATTTATTTTGTTTTTATATTTTTAATTAGCCATCCTAAATATCGTCTTGCACTTAAAGAAAAATGTCCATGCTGTGTATTTGGCAAAGTTGAGGATGCTAGCAAGGCTAGTGATGCACAATCACAAGCCACAACAAATGAAAATGAATCAAAGGCATAAATCTATTAATATTGGAGCAACAACAATAGCATCAACAACAGCGAAATCAACAACTAAAACAACTGCAGCAACAGAACGAAACGCTTTCGAGTTAGTTATAAAAATAATTTGATATTTCTAAAAAGTATTAAAAAGATAAAGATATTTACTAAATGCAATGTCATAAAGACTTTAAAAAAACTAAAAAAAATATATATAAACATTAATAAAGCAAGAAAACTTAAAAAGTTATAATGTTTTGTTTTTATTTTTTAGTTTTGTTCAGAGACATGAAGTATTTTAAATTATTGTCTAAAAACATAATATAATGTTGAGACGATTGTAGCGATTATAGAATATTAAATCGACTAAATTCTAAAAATGAACGATTAGGCATAAATTAAATTTTTTCTTTTAATATATTATTAATTCAAAATTAACACTTTTATGGCAATTTTTTTTATTTTTAATAATAATTTAACGCTTTTTCTTGTTACAAAAACGAACAAAATGTTTATATAAATAATGATTTTCCTATTCACTACACGAATCATATTCGCTTTCAGTTTGTTTTGAACGCTTTCGATTTTTACTATGATTTAAGGCAACTGATTTAAAAGCATCTTCTTTTGACTTTCTCAAGTGGTGATTATCGACTGTATCTAAGTTATTTCGTTCTTGGGAGATGAGTTTCCAAACTTTTACTTCTACTCCCAACCTGAAAAATATTTAGGTATATTATAAAGAGTTTTTTATTTATAATTGTGTGGATTTTATTTACCGTAATTCTAAACGCATAAGATCAAGTTTTTCCATATTTAGAATAAAATCTTCAAAAGTAAATCCTTCATTTAATATAATAGATTTAGAAAACTCATCAATATCGTGTTGAGTTAGCCATTGTTGCAACTGTTCATCAACTTCGTATATGCTGAAATTGTGTTTGTTGTGTGTTCTGTTGAAGATTTGTCTCTTACAATTTCTCAGCGGTTTTTTATTAAAATTTCTGAATGAATACCTAAAAAAATAAAACAAATTGAAAAGTAAGAAAAAAAAAATATTAAAAAAAAACAAATAAAATAAAAAATTTATAAATTTATATATAAATATATAATAATACGTATACACAAATTTATATAAAATAAATTTGTATAATAAGAACAATATTAACTTTAAAACAATATACCTAGTACGCCTAGGGCCCATATAAATATGAGCTAACTCTTTACTTATGTTTTGAAGTGCTCTTAAATTTTGTTTTTGATAATCCAAATGCTGACGATGAAATTGTCGACTGGATTCTTTGATATCTTTTAGAATCCTAAGACATTCCGTGGGAGTTGAACTTGATTCTTCTTCAACTACAAGTGTTGTTACAACATGTTCAGTTGATATTTTTTCTTGACTATCGGTTGAGGTGTGTGGTTGATTGTGAACACTTTCATCATCATTACAAGAAAGCTCTTTACCAGCAAGATTGGCACCAAGCTCTATAATATAAACCTTTTTTATAAAATCACGCTTATATAATATATTGATTCAAGAGCGTATGTTCTACCTGGAGACAGAATGGTTACTGCAGCTTGCACCGCACGTTTGACTAAATTGTCTAGAGCAAACATCCAATGTGGTTTAATAAAATGTGAGCGCAATACTGTAACAACAGCATCTTGAAAAGAGTATAGCGCTAAATGTAAATGATCCAAAGCCACTGCATCAAAATTCAAACTTTGTTTTAAATCATTTATAGTACTTTCTAGATTTTTTTCATTTTCGCTAATTATATATTCTCTCAATCCACGTATTAACATTTGTAATTCATTTGGTGTGATAGAGACTTTTATTTTACGATCTGTTTGAATCCGATCTAACCAAATATTACAAATTTTATTCTCATCTTGTGCCAAAACTTTTGACAAAGTAGTTCGTCGTTGCGAATCTTTCTTTAAACGATAAAAGCCATCTGTTTCACTAGTTTCACTGGTATGGGTACGCAACGATGGCGTTGATGCTTCTATTTCTGGTGATAACAAAAATCCAGATGAGTTCCGTCGTTCTAAAATAAATTGATTGCTGGGCAACTCATCAATATCAACAGAGGAAGAATGATTAACCCTACAAATTAAATTAAATTTTTTTAAGAATATAGCATTACAACATGCATACATGCATATGTTATATCAAAATGAAAAATAAATCAAAATCAAAACGTACTCTAATTCCGGAGTTGTAGGAGTATTACAGGTAGCACTGGCATATGTCATTAATGCAGGATTATTTGATTTATGCACTAAACGGTCTGCAGGAACTGATATACTACGACCAAAGTCGGAAGTAGTTGGTGGACCTAAACGTAATTTTCGATGTTTACTAATTTTGATAAAAAAAAACAATTATTACATTGTAGAGTATATATAAAGTATAATAATACACACTCTGATAAGAACGGATCTTCTAATAATTGTGCAGCCGTTGGACGATCCATTACACTGATTGCAAAGCAACGTAATATAAAATTTCTTGCCATAGCTGATAATTCTTCTGGTATAATTGGATGAATTTTATAGTAACCAACCTTGAACATAGCAGCTTGTGCAGAACCAAGTTCAATAAAAGGTGGCTTTCCTGTAGCCATTTCTACATTTGTACAACCAAACGACCATATATCAGCTTCCGGTCCATAACCGCGAAAGCCTTGGTCGATTACTTCTGGCGCCATATATTGCAATGTACCAGCAAAAGTTTCAGTCATGGGGTTAATACCAGCCAAACGTTTTGAGGTACCAAAATCCGATATTTTCACCACACCACTATATGTATTAACAAGTACATTATCTCCTTTAATATCACGATGTACTATTTTTTGTTCGTGCAAATATTTTAAACCTTCTAGGATTTGTTTAGAATAAAATGCCATCGTAGATTCACTATCCTTTAATGGCCCCCACTTTGTTTCCAAGAGATCGGAAAGGGAACCTCCAGGCACTTGTTCCATAAAAATTTTGAAGAAACCGTCTTCAGAATGGGATCCCAAATACTTTAAAACACATTTTATATATTTATATCAGTAATTTATCATGTAGTGGTATAAATATATATGTACCTGTACAATATTTCTGTGCCTTAATTGTGAGTGTAACTTGATTTCTTCGTGCAATGGTTGTACATCTTGTGAATTTTTCTCTGGCACTTCTTTAATAGCAATACGCACTTGTGTCTGCCTATCACGTGCTGCATAAACAGTTCCATAAGTGCCTCTACCAAGTATAATTTTACGATTTTGATCATCATAGTCATATTCGTACTGAAAATCAAAGTGGTATATATTATGCAATTTATTATGTAATTTATTGTTTATAGTAAATAAGATATTTAAGTACCGCTTACCTCAATCTGGCGTGTGTCATCTATATTAAGATTAACAAACACTTCCTGATCAGATGCCATTTCTAATATAAGTTCATAAAACTTCTGTCGACATTCGGTTGATGGGAAGTATATTTGGAAGTCATCTGAATTGTGATGCACATATAGATAAGCACAACGATCGTCACGTTTATACAAGCTAACAGATTTTATTTGTGATGCAGTAAATACAAAGTCGTGTACTTTTTTGCATTTATTTTTTGAATGTGCAAGACATATATTTACAATTTGTATCGATTTCTCATCGGCATCCATATTTATGTTAACGTAGCTAGGCATATAAATTTTTTGTGGTTCTAAAATCTGTTATATATATACATATATATACGGTTATGATTTATATTTTAAAATAGTATAATAAACATTATTACCAGGATTGGAAATCGTATGTTACTGATTTTTTCAGGAGTTGTAGCCTCTAAAAAAAAGTCCATCCAAAATTGAAAGACATGACCTTCTACTCTATTTTGCAGATCATCTGATTTCTTACGTGAACGTTGAATTAAAGATATATTTCCAATTGTAGATTTTAAATACCAGTTAGGTGGTTTAAGTTTAAACATACATTCAGCGGCTTGAATTGCTTTTGCATAATCCTCTGCCAAAACAGATATTTCAAAAAATGTAGCTACATCCCAATATTCCAACAGTGACGAAAGGCTGCCTTTTTTTCCAATTAAATTATTTAATGTCATGCCTATGTGCTGCAATTCTTCTGTGTTACTAAACTCTTTACCATCTATTACTAACAATGTGGCTAAATTTATTCCAGCATATTCATTGGGTTGAATATCAAAGCTCTTCCGATACCATTTAATAGCATTTCTCAGACTACTCATGTCTGAATAATCTGATTCTACAAAAATATCTTTGTAAATGCGTCCACATAAACACAACATGTCGGGAAATTCATTTTCTTTCTTTTCCAATGCCTTAAGTGAGGATTCTAAAGCTTTCTCTCTATCACCCTTTTTATTACGTCTATTAAGGGCAAACGCATATAAGAAACTCATGTTACCAGTCTCAACATATTTTCGAGTACTTGGTATATTTTTTAAATCACTAACCAAACGAACCATTGCATCGTAGTCCTATAATAGAGTTTATAAAAAAAAAGCAGTTTCTTAAATAATATTCATTTAAAATACCTGCACATCTCGTAGAGAGCACATGAAACTATGAACAACTTCCCCAGATAGCACGTGAGAATCATCAAGACGCCGCCGCATTTCATGTAAAACCTTCTGTTTTTCTAAATTCGTAGCACAACTTTCACGGGCATCCCGTAGATCAGATAAAAACTTTTCTCTCATATGTGTTCTAAAAATGACTAGTTTCATTACCAAAGAATAAAATATAAAATGCTACCATATATACCATATATGGTGCAATTCTAAAAATGCAATTTAAGTAACTTACTTTGACTGTATTTCCACATCTTGTAAGAGACGCTTCAAACCAGACAATAATGTTGGGATTTTAGTGTCTGCAGGTAACTCTTTATTGTAATTTGTTAAGTTACAAACAGAAGACTCCGCATTATGTTTATAAGGCAAAAAAGTATAATTAGCACATGATAACTGAAAATAAATGTAAACATTAGCGCAATTTCCTCTTTTTACATATATTAAAATGCAAAAACGCTTAACAAAACAAATTCAAATCAAAACAAACCAGTCTACCCACAAAGCGTTGTGATGGCAACAAAATCCAACGAAGCTATACGCATGTGGGCTTACGTTAGTATGTAGATAGAATAAACAAACAAAAAATAAAATACAGTGCTGTTGTATTTGTAATTTGAATTTTGTTTGTGTAGGCGTGGGCATGCACATAGATACCGCATCAAAAAATTAAAGTTTTTACTTACAAGTATCAACTTTATTTGAACTTTATCTTATCGTAATGAACTTTGATATAAAATCAAACAGCTGACAATAAAAATGTTATATATATACTTACTTTAAGGCACAATGTTTGTTTGGACTGAACATCATTATAGATCAGAATGTTAGCCTTCATACCCCAACTCTCTCGTACACCCAAATGATAGAATAAGGGACGTTGTTGAGCTTGAATACTCAAATCTATAATCGCAACATCAGCATTATAAAACGTTTCCAAAACTTTAGTTTCACCAAAATCCAATTTTTCAAACTATGTGATAAAATTTTTATATAAACATATATGTATATAGATATAATTATGTTCACACATATTTTTAAATATAACTTTTTAACATACATGCACACGTTGGAAATTTGCACCTACAGCCTAAAAATAAACTGAACATTAACAACAAAATTAGAGCAATTAATTATATAATGAAGTTACCTGTACAGCTTGTTTTGTTTCTTCTAGGGCAATTTGACGTTCTAGAGATGAACCACCACCTTCAGTTGTATCCAATATAACAACTACATCCATTTTGATGCGATATAAGGCTACTACAAAAATTTCTTCTAAACGTTGTATAGTGACTACATAACCAAACAGTTTATATATTATTTGGTACTTTTGTATATAATAATTGATCTTAATTATTAAATTTTTATATAATAATTGTTTTCCATGAATTAAATTCCTGTAGGTGCGCTAAAAAAACTATTTATTTATTAGCAAAAAAGTGTTGCAATGCTGCCAAAAAGGGAAATTCGGAACTGTATTGGCATTTTCTACTTACTATCGCGTTCACAGCACATATGTATGTATATATCATTTATTGTTTTTTCATAAACTTTATTGCAAATTTTTTTAAAAATTGACAATACATAATCATACATGTCAAATTCAACACTTTCTTTTCATTACTGATATTATTAATAATTATTAACAAGTATAAACAGTAAATACTTTCCACAAATTGTGCTGCCATATGGAAATCAACACTTATTAGAAATATTAATTTTTCTTGTTTGTTTCATATATGAAGCATCTTTCATTCCCATCAAATTTTTCATTGCTTTTTCAAGCACAGAAAGCACTTCAGTATAAAACGAATCTATCAATATCTTCATATTCTTAAAATACATGAAACTATAAAGATTATAAATCGTATTATTTTTGTAATGATATATTCTAATAAGGACGTGTGCGAGTTAGGCTAAGTTGCGTTCTAAATGAGGGAAATTCTTTTCATTACTGATATTATTAATAATTATTAACAAGTATAAACAGTAAATACTTTCCACAAATTGTGCTGCCATATGGAAATCTACACTTATTAGAAATATTAATTTTTCTTGTTTGTTTCATATATGAAGCATCTTTCATTCCCATCAAATTTTTCATTGCTTTTTCAAGCACAGAAAGCACTTCAGTACAAAACGAATCTATCAATATCTTCATATTCTTAAAATACATGAAACTATAAAGATTATAAATCGTATTATTTTTGTAATGATATATTCTAATAAGGACGTGTGCGAGTTAGGCTAAGTTGCGTTCTAAATGAGGGAAATTCTAAGTTGTGTCAATAATATAGTAATGTGTCGATACTTAGCATATTTTCGAGGTGGCTAAATCGAGATTAAATCGCTAGGGTTGCCATTTTAGTATTTTCATAAGATAATATTTTCATAATTGAATTCAAATATATATAAGAATATAGAAAATGACAATAAAAAATAATTTTATTAAAATGTTTTGTGTTATTGAATAAAGTATTCGTGTTGCTGTAAAGCTAGACTTTCTTTGTATAGTGACAAAGAAGCTTTATTAAAATTTAGAGGGGTTTTTGAATAACAAAGAAAGAAATAAAGGACAAACACAAAAATTTATTTTAATTTTATTGAAGTTTGGCTGACCATACAACGCTGTTTCGAGTATTGTCAAGTACTCTTCATCAGTGGTCGTTTAACCAAAAATAATAAATAAGTGCAATAAATAAATAAATAAATATTTACATAAGTTCAGTTTACAGAAGTTCAAAAAACCCCTAGGAAATTTCAATTTAGTTTACCTCAATTTCCTCGAACTCGTACACGGTCTAAATAGATAATTTTTGTTTTAAAAACATAATATTTATGATCATATGATACTGTAATTTTTCTAACCTCAAAAATTAATAAAATAATATCATAAATATTTTCATAAATTTATTTTACGTATACGTATACTGATTACTGTGTTCATATACATTATCTGTTGCGATTCCGACTTTCCAACCACACCGATTCGGTAAGGTGTATAATTTATTGATTTATTACATAAACGACAAGAAACAACAGCTAAACGAATTATTGTTGGTGGTTTTTATGTAAAAGTGTCTTAATGTAATTAGTGACATAGCTTGACATTGCTCAATATAGCAATGTTTTCTAAACACTATGTATTTTAAAACATTTTAAATCTTTATAAAGAAGAAAACACGTGAATAGCTTCTCTTGATGCTATGTGAACAGATGCCTAATTTTTCAGTTCGACATAATTGTATTAGTTTTGTCTAAATATAGTATCATTTTAATAATTTCTGAGTTTATATTATTTAAAAATGAAATTATATAAATAATTTATAACACCATGTCAAACAAGTATTTCATCTTAACATTAGACCTTTTCGGTGGCGCGGAAGATGGCAAAAAATGCATGCTGGGTTATATTGGCTACGCGAGACATTGGAATCACTGTTGCAACCTGTCAAGTGTTATGTTTTCACAAATAGCAAATATAACATAATGAAAGCAAATTATATTTTGTATAAAAATAAATAATTAACATAGATTGAAAATTAAAACGAATGCAAAATAAGAGGAATGGAAAAAATGTTGAAAATTTTAAAATAAAGCATTGAAATTTTTCTGTTTTTCCAATTTTAAAATTCAAGAAATTTTTAAATTTTGTTTAAATAATTATTTACATATAATTTTTGACATATGATTGCAATATTCGTTGGAATTTCCAATGTAGGTTCACAAGAGTTCGCTTTTTGCGTTGGTAACAATTTTTTTACTGGCTTCTGCGTTTGGCTAGTATACCTATACTAGCCGAGATAGAGAAAATAGTACATTTGTTTTGCGTACATTTTGACCAGTATAGGCCAGCAACTTGCTGTTTTTTGCCATACTTGCGAGCCACTAAAAAGTTTTATTATTGTATAAAACTATTTAGGACGTGTGCGAGTTAGGCTAAGTTGATGCCAAACCAAATGGGAGATTTTTTAGAATTTTTTGCACATACATGATATTAGATTTTTGTAGAAATTTAACAGACCGAGAGTAAATCTAGGTTGAATTCATATTTACCAATCGAAAACGCAACAGGAATACATTTCGCATTTTTTACCAGTTAATATGTTGTAATACATGAAATACTCATATTTACAAGCAAATCTAGATTTTATTATTCTTTCAAAATAAAATTTGAATTTGAATTTATGTTTTTATAAAATTTATTTCAAATACAAAAATGTAATAATGTTCTGGCCACCTTATTTATAATATTTATATCTATTTCTGTTTATTGTGTCAACGTTAATATGGCAGCACTATACTTTCAAAGGAATGAAAATTTTCAGTTGTTTTTCTCATTTCGAACGTGAGAGCAGTTGAAATTGTGTTTTGTAGTGTAGGAGTCGCAGTATTGTTAAGAAAATTTTAAAATATTGAATGAAAAATTATATTAATAAAAAAGATTAATAGTGCTCGAAACAGTTTAATTATTACTATTGCATTTAGCAATTAGTTGAATATAATAAAGTGAAATTAAACTAAAGTGTTCAATATAACTAAAGGAAAAAATGGGGCTTAATGGCTGCTGTTCTTGTGTTAAATACTTGGTTGTTCTCATAAACTTCCTATTTTTGGTATGTACTTTTATTATTGTTATAGCGCTGCGCACTCCTCCCTACACAAATTTTATAGCTCCAAGACTTACATTTCGGAGCGCGTAAATTTTTGCTTTCGTACCAGGCATAAGTTTGTATATGAATGTAGAGCACAAATTCAAAACTTCACGTATACAAACTTAGCACACACACATAAACACATAAACTGAGAAACTTCCGCTGAATGTGATGCTGTAATAATTTTACCCCACTTCACACCCACTACCATTTCGCCATAGTCGAACTATTCATCCTTAGGGTTTTCGTCTGTTCTCTATTTTTAAGTACTCATCACAATTTATTTAAATTCAGTATTATTTTGTATTTATTTTTATCAATAAGCTTTTGTTTCTACATACAAAAAGATAAAAGGATTTTTAAAAATTGTTTATGGATACTTTTTCAAATAAAATTTAAAGTTTTAATTTTAAAGTTACTGGATATTATCCCACTATAGAAATCTTACAGTATGTTTATATGCATATATGAGTATATGTGAGTATGGTGTTTGTGATGTATGTGCAAGGATGGCCTACACAATTGACATAGGTTGCGCATAAAGCTGTGTGTATTTAAAAATATGCTTCGCTGGTGGTCATAGACAAATGCGTTTGTATAAAATTTTCAAGTGCATTTCAAAATTTTTATTTTGTTTTGTATCTGATTACGTTATTATGTCAGAATATTTTGACTTGTGTGTAGCTCTAATCATCTTGGATCGTTGGAATGCTTTCATAATATGTCCACTCGTCTCAATATAGTACGCGATTTCGAATATATATGTGTGTATATGCGCGAATTGTGTTTGTCAGTTTTTTTTTCATAAGTCCAACGGATGATTTTGATGCTATTCTGTTGATTTTTTAATTTAAAGTCTTTCAGTTTCAGTTTATTAGTCAAAATCTATTTTCGAATATCAATACAAAATGATATTATTTTTGTTTTCGTTAGTGTTTGTTTTATTTATTGTTATTATTGTGTTTTTCTTTTTAATTTCTTTATTCACATCATGTACATTTTTTATTGTCAGTGCTTGTCTTCTTATTTGAGCAGCTCATAAATTTTACTTTTTTTAATATTGTCTTCTAATCAGAAGTATAAATTATACAACACCATATCTAATGGAATATAATATTAAAAACAATTTTAAGATGGGGCTTCGGACTATACATTATTATATAAAGTATGTGTTTGTCATAAAGATTTTTTATAAATTATTATTGAAACAAATTCGGTGATAAGTAACACAACAAATAGACTAGATCACTTTTCGTATAAGTTTTCCGATTAAAATTCGACTATATATTATAACGTAACCTATAAAATTCAACCTATTATTCTTTCTACCTATTATAGTTTCTGAGAGAACTAAGAGAATGTAAAATTGGACCATTTTTGGCCCAAAATTTGAAGGGGCTCCGATAGGCCGATTGGGATCAAATTAGATTCAAAACAAAGGTCATTTCAAAGTTTTAGGAAAATGTCATTTCAATATCTATACTGGTTCAGAAAATATCAAATTTTGATCGACTAATTTCTGCTTTCGCAAAAACAGACTATTCAAACATATTTAATATATAGAATATATAAAATTCATTTACATTTAACATATTACTTGTTGAATATTGTCTTTAATGCACATTATATTAAACCTTGTGCGGCGTCATATGATTCCATACTGCCTGGAAAGTATAGGTTAAAAAAAAAGTAAGGGATTGTGCAGTGCGACCTAAAAGATCTCTTGTGCTCCTTACTCGGGTTAGAGTGTTTCTCCCAGTCCGATTTCTTTAATGAAAGACAGTATAGAGCCTACCTTTCCTAGTCTTGAATCTTTATGATCCATGAAATACCCTCCTAGGTGTTTCTTTCGCTTGTGCATCAGTGTCGGGCACTTTCCAAGTACATGGTATGCAGTTTCTCTCTCTTCTCTGGTTCTCTGGTCTGGTAATCATTTTTTTTTTTAGTTTTGGACAAGCCTTCCCAATTCTATTTGTTGCGAAGTTCAGTTTTGAAGTTTTTTGTAAAGTTATACTTTATAATCATCCTGTCCGTTGGCATTTCAGTTTCTGGGATTTGTGCAGCCAGAGTATCAGATTTTTTGCTGTTGGTTTCAAGACCAGCCTATTTGTAATTACTCTCAGAACAGCCCTCTTCGCTTGTGATTGCACATAGATGTGAAGAGGTGTGTGTTCTCATTATGTTTACACTCCTGTTATGCTTACACATGCAAGTCGCTGTACTTTGTTGAGTGTTTTGATAACGCTTTGCTGTTTTGTGCAGTTTTGCCAGACTATTGATCCGTGACCATAGTGACCATAGGTGTGATTATTGCTGTGTATATCTATCGCAGTGACTTTGGTGTACACCCCCAATTCTTACCTGCGATGTATCTAGATGTCATAAAGGCGTTCTAGATTGGTTGCCTTATATTATCACTTCTTGGATGTGAGATTTCCATAGTAATTATTGGTCTAAAATTATACCCCAAAAATTTTATCACCTTTTGTGGTTTTACCTATTTCTAACCCATCTAAACGGATGGGTTTAAGATTTTTTATTTTGTATTTTCTCGTGAATGGTACAATCGTTGTTTTTGCTGGATATATTTTCAGTCCAACATAATTGCACCATTCCTTTGTTATTTCTAGGCCTAATTCGATTCTTTCGCACAGAGTCTGTTTAAATTTTCCTCTGCAGATTATTACCACATCATCGGCGTATCCCTGGATTTGGAAACCATTCCTATTCAATTTTACCAATAGTTTATAGCGGTTTTCCGTGACTTGTGTTTATATTCTTGCTTGAGTAAAATAAAAGTCACAAATGCTATATTCACGATACAGAAATATATAGCGCGGTTTCTGTACTTGAACGGAATTGAAAACATAGAAGCTATATTTAAACTTGAAAATTATTTATTACGTTATGTTTATTTAGTTAAGCCGGAAACTTGAAACTTCTTAGAAAATAATTTTTTTACTTTTATTGTCACCACAGAGTTGAGATTGCTGGTGGGATATCTAACGGGTCACCACGGGCTACATTACCAACTCCGAAGAGTTGGTAATCCAGCTTACTGTGATTATTGAGAATATCGACGGCTACAAGTTCATCCACTACCATACTCCACATTAGGGGTGATAATACTCCACCTTGAGGACACCCCCGCGAAGTGTTTGCAAAAATATTGCCATTACTGGTCGAAATTTCTACTCTAATGGTGCGGAGCATGTTGCTTATCCAGAGTGAAAGTGTGCCATTGATTCCTTTTCTACAAAGAGTTCAGTTTATGATCTCATGTTAATTGTTATAAACGTCTCCTTCAATATCTAAGAAAGCGCTGATTGCTATTTCTTTCTTCTCTATGCTGTCCTGAATCGTGTTTCTTAGTTGATATAGGGCCGTTCCTGTCGACTGACCTGCCCTATAGGCGTGTTGGCAGCTGTAGAGTGAAGTTTCTTTCAGTGTTGTACTCCTGATATAGTTATCCATGACTTTTTCTACTACTTAAAGTATGAAGGATGTAAGGCAGATTGGTCTGCACGATTTCGGGTGAGTAGGATCTCTCTTCCTTGCTTTCGGACCTTAGGATTCTATGATCAGATCAGACAAGTTCACAGCCTCAAGTATGATATTGTCTAGGACCTCTTTGGGTGAGTTAGTTACAAATGTTGGTGTCTTCCCTACATTACATATTTCTAATTTTTTACTAGTTATAAATTCTAAAAGGTACTTACCTCTTCTATTGGTGATTGTGCTTCCCCATACTTCGTTGTGCTGTTTGAATCACAGCCAATAAGTAGTATTTTCGTTCTCTCGCAGTAGTCTACCAGTTTATCGACCTCTGCAGATGGTACCTGAGTGTCGTCTCCTGGTAGGTGCCCTGTAGCTACGACCACGTTCCATAGAACTCTGTTGTTGTTTTCCGGAATTTGTATGGCTACGATGTCCCTGGAGAGAAATTCTGAAAGACATAAAATTAATATTAGTATTCAATTAAATGCAGGTTCTTGGTTTATCATATCTTACATCCCAAATTGCCTGCATATTCCTTGCAGTCAAACCACAGATTCGACCCCTGTGGATCTAGAGTTCTTGGACCAGCACTATGCTCAAGTTCGATTTGAGCGTACAATAACTGCCGATGCAGCTTTTGCATGGTGTAGATTTATTTGGACGACTTAAATGCTGGTCATCAAGTGGTTCTTCTGCTAGACCATCGTCAATGTCTGACAGGGAGATTCTGTGGGAGTCGTCATCGGGCGCCAAGTTTAATAGGGAGAGATCTAGGATTTCAATGTCCTTACTCTCATGAGGTAGCACACTGATTTCCTCAATCTTCTCGCTCCTCGTCGCCTCATCCTCCACTTGTTCCACAACAGTTGCGGGTATCGGACCTTCAGCTGGTGTGGTTTCCCTAACTGGGTTAATTCCCTCCTTTTTCTCCCGCCCCTTATGCAGGTGAACCGGGATGAAGCTGAACCTGTAGAAGATCTTACAGTCGTTGGCTTTTATGGCTTTCTGAGACTGGTTATTAATCCCGATCGTTAGGAGTTTGCCATTTTTCAAATCCTTGCTGCTGAAAATTCTCCACAGCCGAGTATGTAGGCCCTCGTTCTGTGTTATGAGTAGCTTTAGCAGCTTTTCCGTGTTGACACCCTTAGCTCTTGGGAGGTAGATCGTCATCATATGTAAGCTCTGTGTGTTTTCCCAGACACACGTAGTGAGTTCAACACGTTCCCATCCGTAAATCGTAGCTTGGCATCCCATCCTTTATACATCTCCTCAATGAGGAGTTCTTCGATCTTACCTTGCTCATCTCTCGAGAGAGTTGATTCCGGGTAGGATTTCGAAAGAATAGCTATTCTTAAGCTCTTGGCTATACTAGCATACCTGCTGCTCGATATTGTTTTCCTCAGTTGCTTTGGTGTAGCCATTTGCGTGACGTCCTTTGCATGTGGAGGTTTGTCGTTCCCTCG